TTTTCATATATATTTTATGCTAAATTTTAATAATTTTTAATGATATTACACTTTAAAGGAATGTATTTTGCATATTTTTTGTTTCAGGGACAAGAAATGGAGTTTTGGAGAAAATGAAACAAAAACGGTGCAATTTGGAGCTAGAAAGAAAATTCTGTCCTGATATATTTTGATATGTCTTTCTATGTTTAATCTCATTTACACTTCTCACAAATTTTTGAATAAAATTATACTTTAAAGAAATTTGTTTTCATGCTTAATTTGTAGGTCTATCTGCTAGGAACATAACACAACTGAAATGGGGCGAAACAGAGTCAAATTGAGCGAAATAGTGGAGCGGCTGCAGAGCGACGCAGACGGCGCCCTAGTCCAGAGAAGTGACGAAAAGTGGCACCGACGACACCCAGACCGACGCTGACACCGCCTGGATTTTTTGGTGGATTTTGATGTTCTAGAAGGCTCCCAAGTGATTCAAACACCCCATGAAGTGATTCAATGCATATAGACACTTGGAGAAGGCTATTAAATGAAGAGACATGACTTTTGGATGAATAGATTTGTCTCTTAGGAAAAAGGAGGGAATTGGTGTCTCTTTAAAAGAGAGGTCTTGGTGCCTCTCATGGTGTGTGGGGGTTTGTGTGTGAGTGTGTTGTAGAGTAAATTCTTGTGCGTGGAGAGGATTTTCTTGAAGAATTGTAAGAGGAGAAGGAAGGTGAGTGGTTTCTTCTTCATTACACTTCTAAGAGAGAATTTAGTGTTGATTGTAAAAAGAGAAAGTGCTACAAGGGAACTTTGAGGGATTTGCTTGAGGAGGAGTCTAAGATAAGTTGTGTTCTTTCATTTCTTTATTTTGTAAACTTGTTTATATATATATAATCTGTGTTTTGTCGTATCTTCCTCATGAGTTCTGAGTAGACTTCTTTATCTTTCTCCCTACTCTGAGATATGATAATGAAGAGATAATTTGGCCATTTTAAAATATAAAATAAATTGTGATGATTTTTTCACTCCGTTCTTAATTTACTTTTCGATCTGATCAATTGAAATGTTAAAATCTATTATGAAACATATAATCCGGGAAATGTAGTATGAGTTCTATAACAGAGTGAGGATCACATTTAATTCCATGGAGGAGTGTTTCATTCATGGAATTAGGTGCAAATAAATGTGAAAAAATACATTGTTGGGTGTAGAATTGGAGATTTTAGAGTGGCAGACTAAAGTCCACAATTTGCTCTTAGTGTTTAAGAACCTCTTAGTGTAGAAGAACTAAAGCGAGCGTTAGCCTTCAGGGGAAGGGAAGTGGGAGCTATGGAGTGAGAGCCAGTATCCTCTCAGCCTAACCATAAATTTAGGGACTAAACCTGAGATTAGCCAATGATTCTTTATAACACTGAATTAGGGTAGAAAATTAAAATTGTTCCTATTTGACACAATACAAATTCAAACCATTTATCTCTATCATTATCTAAAAATTCATTATAGCGGGAAGGATACTTTCTTAAATTTGAACTCTTCATCACAAAATTTTGTTTTAGTCTTAGTAAATTTAACTTTAAAGTTTAGAAATTAATTTAGTAAAATTAGTTTCTTTAGCATACATTAAAACCACTTTAATCAATCTTCCAAACTAATTGCTTATAGTAGTAGACTAGAATTAGCATAAGGGATTTTTTATCTCGCTTCTTTGTGGGATCGATACTGAGGTTTTTAAAGAAAGCCCTATATTACTTGAAACGATATGTGCACTTGCGTAGAACTCCAATGTGTGAACTATTTTATATTTTTTATATAACATTTCTATTTTGCACATTAAATACTTAATATAAATTGGGTCAAGATTTTGGCCATAGTATTGAAAATTAAATTACTACCTAACTTTTGGGACATGTCAAGTTTTTGACACTGCCGTGAATTTAAATTGGCATAAAATATGCATAAAAATAACACACACTAGGGGCGCATCAAAAATCCTCTATCAACTTTCAAGTTCTTCGATTTTAAGAGGTCGTAATATCGCTCCTGAGCTTTGGAGCTAACAAACGTTTTTCTATCAAAAGAAACTTTGCCTTTGCCACCTTTGGTTTTGGGTGCCATAAGAAAGATAGATTATGAAAATTTTCAATGAGATTATATCAAATGATTGATATATATGACTCAATATGCTTGTTATTAGGTTAATCAAACTCTCCCAAAGAATTTCCTCTTCTTATTCTTGAATTTCCTAAAAATCCAAAAATTTCCCGGATGAAGAACTCAAATGCAGGATCAAGAAATGCTTAATTTGCTTTTTATTTTGGCGAAATGATTAGTTAAAACATGTTATGATCCATAATGAATCGTGAGAGCTATGGAGGAATGATTATAATATTCACATTAAACTATAGGGTGAAGCAAAAGTAGTATGTAGGGCGATACAAATAAAAAAGGAAATAATCTTTGATGGATTCAAATTGGGATTTAAGGAATTAAAACTAGTTTAATAAAACTTCTTTATGCACTCGGGAGAGGGTATAGAAGAGAATTGCTCTGATTTGTCACTTGCAACAATTACAATTCTAAGTATTTTGTTCCTACACACTACTTATCTCATGACAAGGGAGGGTAACTCTTGATCTTGATAATCACCAATCCAATTAAGCTAAATAGTATTTCTGTAGGGTTTAAAATATTAAATTAATTGCAATATTGTAGTATTAGTTTGTAGAGCTTAAACCTAATATAGATTCCAGGCTAAGAACTAATTCTAGTTGGCTAGAACTTCTCTTATGTCTAATTCCCTCACTTCCTGTGGGATTGATTTTCCAGACTCAAAAATCTGATATTATTGATACAATACGTATACTTATGTGAGATCTAAGTGTACTAGAGCACCTAATTTGGGGGGTCCTCGCTTTTCCTTCAAAATTTGCAAGTGAATGCATGATGAGATTATAAGAAAACTTAAATCCAATAGACTCTTGTAATTGAGGAAAATCATAAATTTGATGATATAAAAAAGGGAGAAAAATTGACATCTAATTGATAAAGAACATTCTTATCATTCACGCTCACCAAAGACTCATAAAAAACAAATGATTCTTTTTATATATCATTCAATTCTCAAGATTTAACAAGATCATCTAAAGAGAATTATTCCAAAAGTAGGGATTTTAATTCACCATAAAAGATTATAAGGTAAGTTAACAAAAGGTTAAAAATATGTTCAATAGTAATATACTTGGCCTACAATCTCATATAAAAATAATGTTTAGATCCTCTTACTAATTACAATGTTTTGATTAGATTATTAATAAAATAAATAAATAACTTTTAAATCTAATTCATTAATGAATTTTCTTAAGTTATATAGACTGCAATGAGGTCTCCATATTGTATTATTAATATCATATTCATCATAAGGAAAAATATTTTAAAATGACACTTTTGTCAATAAAACTAAGTCTTAAAAGTCTCATAAGAGCATGCCCATATCATTCTCATTCAATCAATTGAGTCAATAAAAATTTGAATCATCATATACTTAAGACTAGGATGTTTAAAAAAAAGGACATGCCCAAAATAGTTAATTGTACAAGGAAGAATATTTTAGTTTATGTGTGTCCATGCCCATGAAGTTAACATTTTTTGTGTTTGATAGAATGTTATTAATTTTAAAATATGTCCAAGGAATTTATGAAATATGTAGTTATTTATTCAAATAATTATGCCCAAAAGTTTATTTGGATGAAAAATATTCCCAATGAAAGATAAAATTTTGTACTCATAGATTGCCTTTTGAAGTTAAAGTATCTAAAATGGGTTCAATATATGTAAACTTAGTTTGAGCCCATCTTTGAATCAAATTGAAACCCAATGTTTAAAAATGATTTGAACCAAGTTCAAACTTTTTTCTTACAAAGAAAGTTGAAATCAAATTTGATTAAACTTTAATGTACGTTTGAATGTTGTTAGAATGATGGTTTGAACATGTTCGATCACTGGAGAATCATAGTTATAAGCTTATTCATCAAGCAACTATTGATAGTTTCCCCAATTAGTTCATTTCTCAAATTGTTCTTCTCCTCCACATAACATGGGTTTAGTTGATGTCTTTCCCCAATGAGCTCCAATCACAAATATATCTCTTCTTCACAGGCCGACGGACTATTGATTCATTCTTCGTATGAGATCCCATCACTAATATTTCTTCTCCAAGATAGATTTGATTTAGTTTTGCAAAATATTTGAAATCAAACCTCGCAAGCTCTAATCATATTCAAATCAAGTTTAAACTAGGTTTGAACCTTGCAATATTTGAATGAATTTCAAAGAGTGGTTTTAAGTTGAAATTGTTCTAATCAAATTCATTTGCAACAAAATTCAATAAGCAATCGACCTATATAAGAAGCCACATTTTGTCTCAAAAGAAAATTTTAGACTTGCTTTCAAAGGAAATAATTGTAGAGGCTGTTTCTCTCATTTTATTTTATTGAGAAACAGTAAAGGAGAAGTATATTTTTCTTTCAAATAAAACGCGCAATATGTATTGCAGCATCTTTATCGCTTCTACGATCGGCAGATCACAAAAACACTGGCGCAGTAACTTTCCACCGATCTGTTGTTACTTTATATACGAACCTACGGCGCGTCCTCAACTGGATCAAAGCGGAGCGAGAAATGGCATCGGTCGTGAGGGGCGTGCTCAAAGCGATCAGAGAGAAGGGCATCGTCAATTTCGCAAAACATCTCAAAGAGGAGGGCTATTTGTGAGGCTTTCTGCTCCAATTGATTCTTAAAACTTTGTTTTTTTAGCTTAAATTCCTCTCAGGTTTCTTTTGAACCATTCTTTGTGATTCCGATGGAAGAAATCATATTCCAATATCTCCCCTTCCTTCAAAGAAAATGACCTATCTTAGAGTAAGGGAAATATACATGGGCTAAAGTATCTTGGGATCGACATTTTCTGATTTTAAATTTGGTTTTGCATTCTTTTATAACCTAAGAGTATAAAGGAAACATTTGAGAATTTATCATTCATAGGATAAATTGGTTGGATTTGAAAAATGAGAATTTATTGAGATTTAAGGTAGATTGTTAAGATAGGCAAATCATAATTCTTTAGTTGAGCTAAGAGAGGTAAATTATAAATATTTTTTTTTGAGTATTTGAGTGTTAAACACAACTAGGTTAGACTTAGTACGCTGGAACCCGAGACATTGCGAAGGGAAGATTAACTTCCGGGCTCCGCAATTTAGTGTAATTATAAATATTATTGTGGCATATGATGGCTAGCTCTATTTCATTTACGGGGTTGTTGTAAAAGCTCTATGGAAGTCTAAAAATAGATCATATAATGGTGATGAAATTTGGTGGAGTCAAGGAGTATAGAAGGTTATTAAGAAAATATTTGTGCTTATATTTGCAAACATTGTATACTACTAAAGTTTTTTATTGATTATAAAAAACATAGGTCTTGCAAAAAATTACGAGTAGAACCAAAATTATAATTTTCTATGATTTTTTGATAAACTTGACCAAGAACGAGAAAATGAAACATGTAAAATAATTAGGGTGTGTGAAGTGATATAAAGATTTTGGTAAAAAGTTATACAATATCAATGGGATCATAATTAAGGAAGAAGTCATCAAGAAAACATGGAAATTTACATTGAGAAATTACTAAATAAGAGCTTTTGAAAAAAACAAATATAATTTTTGAATAACAAAGTGAGTAGTATAATGAAAAGATGTATCAATTTAAGTAATGCAATTTTGATGAGTCATGTAATCTATCTCAATGATTTAATTATCAAGTCTTTTAAATTGAATTTTAGGAAGTAAGAGCATGTCAAATAATTGATGAAGAATCATTTTGTTATGAACTTTTAAAAATAAAGGCAATGTTTAATATTCTGTAAATATAAAGCTATTAGACTTGTAAATCATAAAATTGAGTGATGAGAGAAACGGATGATACATTTTGAAACATTATGTCAATTTTGATGTACCAATTTGGTTGTTGAGCATATCTTCTTTGAAAGTGATTTTTTGTGTTGAGAAAATCAAAGAAGTGTGGAGAGCAAAAAATGATCTTCATATTATTTGTGTGATCTTGAGAAGGCATATGATTTATTCTTGTGCGAGTTAATTTAATTAGCATTGGCTAGCATTAGTAGTAGTTGCACGGTGATTGATAAATTTCACTATAGATTTACATCAAGGACATCTTTGGGTCCTTATCTTTTTATTTTGGTGACAGAAGGCTTACAAATGAAATTCAATGTTGTGTTTTGTTGTATGCTTTTTGTAGATTTTATGATTTTAATTGGTGAGATATCTAGTAAAATGAATAAAAATTTAGAATAGTGGAAAAAATGCTTAAAAGATAAATGCCTTTGAATTAGCAAAGCAAACGAGGAGTATAAAATTTGTAGTTTTAGTATTGTGCTGTTGAAATTGTCATTTACTATTGTTAAAATATAAGGTTATACCTAGGTGTGTTAGGCTTAAATTATTTGGGTCTATTATACAGAAGAATGAAATTATAGATGATAATTCAATTTTTAGAATTTAATTCCAATTGATAAAATTGAAAAATAATCCAGGAGTTGTGTGATCAAAGGATATCATTGGGGCTTAAGGGTAAATTTTATAAAATCACAATTAGGTTATCGATATTGTATGTATTTTAATGTTGACTATAAAAAATCATTGATATTTAATATAATATTGATAGAAATGAGAATAGTTAGATAGATATGTGATAAAATTAAAATAAATAAATTTTAAAATGATTACATTTGATGTATGCTTAGAATGACATCTATCAAAGATATGATGATTAAAAATAGTCATAGATAAATTAGAAAGATAATATTCTTGTTAAATGAGGTAATAAAATTAGTGTTGGAGGATTAGGAAGAAAAAATTGTTGACCTAAGATTACACAAATAGTTCTTCAAAATAGTTTTTTGCAGAAGAGGTTTAAGGCCTTAGAGAGCTCTTAATAAGAATAAATAAAACTTGAGCAGTTTCAAGGTTAGTCCAAAATTATCTGGACAAGGCTGATTATCGTGTTGATGAGTTTTTTAAGCTTGTTTTAATTCATATGGTTACCTGTGTCATTTAAGGATGGGGATTTTTCAAAATATTTCTTTGTAGAAGAACTAATTGATGAAGAATGGTAAAACGGCTTCTATTTGTGTTAATGATGATGATGATGTAGCTTATAAATGGATGCATGTCAATAAAAATACAATATTGGTATCATATTTAATTTTGATTTATCTTTACACCTTGCTTGAAATTGAAAATGTTATTGGCATTTTTATAGCTTGGATCTGTAGAAAGAGAGATTTTCATCACTTTGGCTATAAATGACAACCTACATACAGTTAAATTAATAAAATAAATTGAGTTAAGGGCAAATTTTATGTGGATAATCTAGAAAGAACAAAAAAATAGAGCTTAGCCCAATTGGAATAACTTTCACTAGCGGTACGCATGAGTTACAAAAGGCTTCCAATCACCGAAGCTGGAGAAGGTGCTAAGATAAGGTTGAGTTTAAGAGCAAACCTTCTCCGCGAGGTGAAAGCAACAGGCCATAAAGATGACAAATGATTGATGTTGGATTATTTGGCCAGGCACTAAGGGCTGATCGAGATGATCTTTCTCATGCTAGTGAGGCAGATTGATCTTGGGATGATGGAAGATGTGGCGCTTACGCTTTGGTGCATGGGAGGAGGTAAAATTTACTATTGTTAAAGTTCTATTATTTTTCTTTTAACTATGGTCATAGAGTTGACACGTGTAAAGTCGCATTGAACTTTTGATTGGAACCATATAAATATTCATTCCTAGCTTTTTTACTCTTTCTTTACCTGGACCCGTGGGTAATTTTCTCTGCATTGAAAAGGACATTTTGAATTGTGGATGGATGAATGCTGTCATTCATGGGTTTTCACCTAAAATCATGCTTATTCATTTTAAATTTTCAATTTTTTTACCATATCTCTTCCATAGATTTTAGCTGAAAATCAGGGTCCAATACCAACCACTAAGGGTCTGTTTGGGGCAGCTGCAGCAGCTTATCCTGATAAGCTGGTTGGTTGTTTGGTTTGTGCATTTGGAAAACAGCTGATTTGCAGTTGTTTCTGGGTAAATGACCATTCTGCTCCTGACCTTGATAAGCTATTTGGTTTGTGTTTTGAGAAAACAGCTGATTTGTAGCTTTTTCTGGATAAATGACCATTCTGACACTGCGCAGTTTTGTCGTTTGCAACAAAACAATAACAACTACACATTTGACAGTTGAGAACAAAAAAAATCACATCATAACATTACAAAAATGGATATACATGTCACTTAAGAGCGAGTATCAAAAAACATAATAAACAAATAACATATTAAAATTACGATTAAAAGAATGATAATATTCATTTTAAAACGTAGAAAAAACAAGTCATGTGCACCGTTGTTATGTCGGGACACCGTCGATATTGTCTAGTTGGGATACCAACGAACCTCGAGCGACGTTTTTCGGTTGGGATACCGTCCAACCCTGAGCATTGTTTTTCGATTGGGATACCGCAGAATCAGTCGAACTGCTTGTCTACTTGAAGAACTTACAGTCTTCTGGTTTGTCTGCCCAGTGCGGGCACCTGTAGAACTGTCGCCCGTAGCTATGTGGCTTGCGCAACGTGAGTAACAAA